GGTCCTCAGGCAGCATGTGCAGGGACCACTCCACTGGGAGGCAAGTCCAGCTCCCGTCATGAGTTGCTCATTGCCTTGGCTTCCCAGCCCCATGTTCCGGAGGCCCAGGCTCAGGGAATTCTAGATGGGATGGGGGGTACAAAAGGACACATCCTGGGTGGTATCTCCTGGACACAGGTGAGATGGAATGGAAGATGTAGCTCATTCCTGCAGTGGTCCTCACTCTAGAATAGGGTCCCATTCTTCCATCCTTCCCCCCCCCCGCCCCCTTACTCCCCACTCCCACAGACACACACACCCCACACCTGCTCTTTCTGCCCCAGTAGGTCACGTCTTCCAGTTCCTTCTTCCCTGAGCATGAGGGGCCAGCTTCCCAAGCCCTTGGCCTCCTCCCCACAGGTATCAAGCTAGACTTTAAGAGTCTCAAGGCCGTGGGCCCCTCCCTGGACCTCCTGCGGCAGCTGACACTGGATGGGAAAGTCCGGAGGCCTGTGTGGATCAATGCTGACATCCTGAGGGGCCCGAATGTGCCCATCTCCATTGAAATCAATGCGACACAGTGAGTGCTTCCCTCTCTGTCCCTACTGCACCCAGCCCTCTTCCTTCAACATTTGGCACAGGAAGGGCTCAGGGGACCTTTCCTGAGTTTGCCTCCAGATGTACCAAGTATTCTGACCTCTGAACTTCCACATAGGCTGTTCCCTTTGCTTCATTTCAAGTGCCTCTCCCCCATTTCCTGCCTTTGCCCACACACTGCCTCCTCCAAAAACTGCCCCAACATCCCAGGTGACATCCTCACTGCCCCCTAACACAGCCCTGATTTCATTGGGGTTACCCCACATCCCCAATGACCAGGGCAAGGCGTGGCCTGCTAGAAAAGTCTAAAATGCTGGCTCCTTGCCCAGCCCCCATGAAATCCCAGCACTGCCACCAACAGCCCTCACATACACCAGCTGCACTCATGCTGCTCTGCAGTCTACAGAGAAGGGCCACATAAAAGGAGAGAATATATCTGATTTGATTCTTATGTAGCATTGCTAGGCGAGGAATCTTTTCTCCCCATTTTGCAAATGAGCAAGCTGACAATTGAGGCTTCATTTATTAAATGTTTATTATGTGCCCCAGGCACTATTTTAAGAACTTTAATTTTAGAATACCATTTAACTTTTACAATGAGAATGAGGTAGGTACTATTATCTTCATTTTGTTAGTACAGGACCTAACTCTTCGAATGACCTAAGTCTAGTAATCGGCCGAGCAAGATTCAAAGCCAGGCCTTTGATGCTAAGCCCCACACTCTTTACCATCCCGCCCTCCAGCCACCCAGCTGTCCACCCCGCCAGCCAACAATCCAGCCATCCAATTTGTGTGACTCTCACATGAGGTGCATTTGGAAAGCAGCAGTTTGAAAAAATGCAGTCAGTGGCACAAGATAAATATGGTTTGTCTTCTGGGAGTATTGATTTTACTCAATAGTTTGGGGAGAAGGATCTGGGAACATTTTTTGCCTATTAAAATTTGCATCAGGGCAAAATCTGATTGAAATTTTAAAGTCAAATCTGAAGCTTCAGAGACTCTCCCAGCAGGCAGAGCCCAGATCTCCACCCCTGGGGCTCTGGATTTCATTGCCTCTGTCCATATGGGGATGTTTAAGAGGCCCTGCCACACCCCCCTCCTCGCCCTCAGGAATGCCATCTTTGAGAATGAAAGAGGCTGAGTGAGCTGCCCAATGTCACAGTCATGACCTGAACCCACACCCCACTGACTCCAAAATTCATGCCCTGTTTGTGGGACCTTAAACAAGCCACTTCTGCTCTTTAGGACTCTGCTTCTGCCCTTTCAGACTCAATAGGCTCTGCCACATCCTAGCACCGTGATGGGAACCCACGAGACAAGGAAGGGCCAGCCAGGCCCGAAGAAACCGTTGTCTCTGATTCTCTGTAGGTTCCTGGCCGTGGTCCAGGAAAAGTACCCTGAGGCCACCCTGTCTCCAGGCTGGACCACCCTCTACGTGCCCCTGTTCCCGAACAGCACATACACCCGAGCCATGGTGGAGAAGATGCAGGGGCTGGTAGGAGCGCTGCCACAGAGGGTCACCTTCCCTGTGCGGGCTGTCATGGTGCGGGCTGCCTGGCCCCACTTCAGCTGGCTGCTGGGCCAGTCTGACAGGTGAAAACTCCTAGCCCCCTGGCCCAGCCCCTGCCCCTGCCCAACCCACCCCCAGGCACTGATCCTAGAAGCTCATGGCTGGCAGGGACTTAAAGATTCTAGTCTCATCCACTGGTGCTCACATCCCATACTCCATCCCTTTCTGCTCGTACGCTTCTGGTGACAGGCTGTTTACCATCACCTGCGGCAGCCCATTCATTGGTGGATAACTAAGTCTCTGCCTATTTGAGTTTACACTGAGACACAATTTGTCTCCCCACAGCTTCTTCCCACGGGGAGCAGCAGTGGGGCTGCCCTGATTGTACCTGCCACCTCTGCCCCCGGATAGTCCCCCGTCTCCACTCCAGCAGTCTGTTCCCAGCCACCCGGCCCCACCCTCAGCAGCTCCCCACAGGACGCTGAGGCTTCCCCCTCCTCCACACCTGGCTTCTCCCGCCGCCGTCCCCTCTGCCTGTCCCATTCTGTCCTTGGCCCTCTCCTAAAACAGGAAATAGGCATCCTCTCCCTCCTTCTGGGCTTCTGCTGGCCCCAGGAAGGGGGTGGTGGTCTGGAAGAAAGGGCTGGTGGGACGTCAGCTGCTCCGCCCTTGCCCAGCTAGGGTCCAGTTCTGAGCGCAGGGACTGAGGACCAAGCTGGGCCCAGACGGACGCCGAGCCTGCTCTCTGGGCCCCAGGTACAGCCTGACACTGTGGCAGGGCCCCGCGGACCCAGTGTCAGTGGACGATCTCCTCTACTTCCGAGACAACTGTGCCACCCACCAAATCTACTATGATCTCTTCGAGCCTGTCCTGTCGGAGTTCAAGCAGCTTGCCAGTAGGGAGTGACCTAGGAGGGCGGGGAAGGGCAGTGGGCTGGATTCTGAACTGGGTAGCACTGGTGGACCGGAGCAGAGCAGAGCAGAGCTGGAGGGGCCGGACATCGGAGGGGGACATCCTGGGTGGCACAGGGAGAAGATTTACTAAGTCATTCAGCTTGTGCATAGCACAGCTCGGGCCGGAACCCAGAGAATGTCAAACCCCATTTACTTTTCCTGGCAGCACAGTTTCTCTGCGGGTTACTCTAACATTTCAGAGAGGGACCTCTCTGCTCCACCTGCTGATCGGTGATCCAGGTGCTACCTGTTCTCTTGTTCGCACCGCTCATTCCCTTGACCCCAAACCTAGGAAAGCCTGCCGTTAAGCCACATCAGAGGGGATCCATCAGATTCAGCATTCCTTCCTTGGGAGCCATCTGGGTGAGGGGGGAGAATAACAGCTTTGGGACCAGACAAGCCTGGCTCCGTCGGGTTCCAATCCCAGCAATTCTGCTATTGGCTGTAGGATCTTGGGCAAGTCACTTCTTGTAATCTACAAAAGGGAAAATCACAGCTACCAGGCAGGTCGCTGTGAGGGTCAGAAAGCATGTATAGCCACGGCTCTCAGAAGGCACTCTGTGAATGGCAGCTGCTTTATTGTGACAATTTGGGACCCCACAGTGAACGCCACACGGAAGCGAAACTACTACACAGGGGGCAGCCTGATCCCTCTTCTCCAGCTTCCCGGGGGCGACAGCCTGAGGGTGGAGTGGCAGGTTCCCGACATCCAGAGCAATGGAACATCAGTGACAGTTCAGCTCCCAGGTGAGGTCTGCCTACAGCCCCTGTGCTGCTAACTAAGCTTCAGGGACTCTGTTACCATGGCCACACGCCAGCTGGGGGAGGACAGTGTTGCCAAGGGGATAGAGTCCCTGGCCCTCAGACCAGCACCTCTGAGCCCTTAGCCACATTGTGGTTCAGCCGTGGTGGGCACAGCCCCACAGCTGAACCACTAGCAATGGCCAGGAGCTGAGCTGGCAGCTTCTCAAGTCATTGAGATGAGCCCTGGGCATATTTCTGAAGCAGCTCTTCTACCTGGAGCGCAGACCCAGTCCCTAGGTTCCAGACAGTGGAGGCACCAGCTACTCCTCCTTGGCTGCCCGTTACCTCTCTGCTGCCCCTTTTACAAGGGGCTCTGACTCCCCATGATAACTGAACCCCAGCCACTGTTGCCTCCACCGCGTCTTCCAGACAAAGAAGGCATGATCCTGCTGAACGTTGGTCTCCAGGAGCCTGCAGCTGGGGACGCTGTGCCTGTCGTACGTGCCCCAGGTAGCCCTGCCCTGACGCTGGAGTCATGCCTGCTACAGCTCGCCACGCATCCTGGACGCTGGGGAGTCCATCTGCACATAGCAGAGCCCACGGCCCTTCGGCCGTCCCTGTCCGTACTGGCCCACCTCTCCGACCTTGGTCACCTTTCTCAGCCTGTGTGGGTGGGGACCACAGTCTCCTATGGCAGTTTTGCAGTGCCTGGCCACGTGGCCGGTGAAGAGTTGCTTACAGCTGTGTCTGAGGTTTTCCCCCACGTGACAGTGGCACCGGGCTGGCCCGAGGAGGTACTAGGCAGTGGCTACAAGGAACAGCTGGTCACAGATATGCTGGAGCTGTGCCAGGGTCTCTGGCAACCTGTGTCCTTCCAGCTGCAGGCAGGGCCACTGGGCCAGAGCGTGGCTGGAGTAGTGGCCAGGTTACTGGCAGCCTCCCCCCGGGCCACCGTCACAGTGGAACACAGCCCTGCGGAAGACAGCTATGCATCTGTGCGGACAGCGCTGCTGGCAGCCAGGGCCGTGGACAGCACCAGGGTGTACTACAGACTGCCCCAGAGTCATCGCAAAGACTTGCTGGCAGATGCTGGCAGAAACTGACCACCCAGGGGTGCTTCCCACGGGGGAGGCAGGAAGAAATAAATGCTTCTGCCTTCCTCGATGCACTGCACGTGTGTCCTTGGCAGGATGGAGTGGGAGTGAGGTAGCTGCTGCGGGTGCCTAGAGGCTCTGGAGGCTGGGGGCCAGATCATTCCGGTTGTCCAAAAGGAACTTCTCACAGGCCTTGAAGGTGTTGTAGAACTCAGAGGAGAGGCCGGCCACATTGGTGGTCACGTAGGTGAGAAAGCCCGAGGTGGCCTGGTTGTAGTAGGACACCTGCAGGACAGGAAGCAGCACTCAGGGAGGCTGGGCTGGGGAGGGGTGGGAGCCACTCAGGCCGTGGGGAGTCAGCCCAGCAAGCCTGCTGAGAGGGCAGCAGCCTGGGCCCTTAGGGGAGGCTACATGACTGGCAGGTGGGAACTCCCGCAGCAGGTTGCCCGACCCTAACTTCTCTGACACTGCGCTGTCTCGGGGGTCTCCCCTGCCAGCTGGGAGACCCCAGAAGACAGGGATTGGGTTTCCAGGGCCCAACACAGAATCCTGTTTAAATGAAGGTCTACTGGGGCTTTGGAGACAGGTGACAACTAAGCCCAGGGATTGTCCTAAGAAGCTCATCCGTTAAGTGCATTACCTGAACGAGTCTCAGGGCCCTAACAGCAGCTGTGAGCCAAGGAGGGGGGCCGCATACACCCACCCTCGCTCACTCTAATTTTCAACACCAACGGCCCTGCTGAGTTTGATGGGCCCTGAGAACCATATGAAGCCTTCCTGGACAAGAAGGAGTACGTGAGTCAATGAGATGAATATTAGATCAGAACCTAGGCCTTCTGCCCGCAGCATCCAGGGCTTTTCCCAAGACCCTGCAGTAGCCTCGGACTTCTCTGCATAGATTAGATCTTAATGAAGGCTTACTACTAGCCCCCGATGATCTCAGGCTTCCCCAAGCTGGAAGAGCCCACTGTGGGGCACAGGTGGGGGCCCAGGGCCAGAACTGTGTGAGCCCGACAGTGCTGAGTTCTGTGCGCATGTGGATTTGGGGTGGATCAGGGTGAAGGTAAAGGGGACCCCGAGCCTCACCTTGGTCATCTGGTCCCCCTCACGCCAGAAGCAGAAGCCTGAGCAGAGGGTCTCCCCACGCCTGTACTTGGGTGTCTCAGGGTGCGTGGGCAGCGTGACTGACCTCAGTGCAATGACATAGGGGTCCCTGAAGTGGAGGAGAGTGGGGAGGGGCAGAGAAGGAGAAGATGAGGGTTTGTCCTGCCCGGCCCAGGCTCCGGAACCCCTGCTCCAGCACTGACCCAAGCTCTGGAGCCTCCCTCGGCACTGACACCAGAGTCTAAAGACATGTAAACTCTGAAAGGCACGGCCTGCCTCCAGCCAGGCTGGAGAGAGCAGGCACCTGTGTGTTGGCAGCCCTGCATTCACCAGGAGCCAGCGTGACTTCAGGGCAGATTTCCTAGGCCAGCCCCTTAGGAAGGAGTGGTGGGGTTGTATGCTTCACCTTCCTGTGCCTGTCTCTAGCACAGTTGAGGCAGACAAGCCACCCTTCGGCCAGCGTGGGACAGTCAGAGGGTGGAGGCCAAGGAAGTTCCATGTGAGAAAAGGCCTTGCCACCTCAGAATCAGAGCCTACCCTGCTTTAGAGCATGAGCAACCAAAAAGGAGGTGTGTTCCCTGACCCCATCTCACACACAACAGCTCAGAAAAGCCAGGTGGCACCTGGGGTCCCAGAGCCAATAGGAAGCATGGAGCCAACTCTAGGCTGCTGTCTGCCTCCCCGGGGAGGGATGGGCTCCCTGACCACCTCCTACCCCAGCAGGCAGGCACCTACCCATTATCACAAGGCTTCCGCCGGGAGGCCAGGATCACAAAGTCCTGAGGCTTGGGGTCATTGCCAAGAGCAGAGCTGATGACATAGTAGATGGCATCATCCTCATCCACCTGATGCACTAGCTCCACGCTCCTGTAGGGAGGCCCAGAGCTCAGGGTCTGAGAGTGTCATACCAACTCCTCATAGGAGAGGGGGTCTGGCCCAGCTCTCCTTGAGTCAAGACTTAGAAGACACTTCAGTCCCTACACAGCTCAGCAGGGACTATGAGAGGACAGGAAGGCCCAGCCCAGATGCATTCACACGCACGTGCGCACACACACACACACACACACACACACACACAAAGCAAATAAATATACAGCCGCAGAACTAATAGGGCAGCAGAGCTGGGCTGCACCCCTCAGGCCTGGGTACACTGTGCCCATGGGCCTGTACACTCACGTAGGCTTATACCAACACACACGCACACATACACACACAAGCACACATGAGGACATCCACAGAGGTGCGCATGACCATGTCCACACCTGCCGCCTTGTCCCCTGCTGTTCCACCCACACTCAGAGGCAGCTTCAGGACTGGGGTGGGGAGAAGCAGCGAGGGGCTCTCTCTCCTCTCCGGCCACTTCCCGCCAACCCCATCAAGTATCACAATCTGATCGGACCTTCAAGGCCCACACCAGCCTGCCTCCTTCAAGCAGCCTTCCTACCACAGAGCCAGCTTCCCCAATATCTACCAGCAATCACCTCTCAGGCTTCTCAAACGGCACTGCTGGCAGGCCTGGGGCCACCTAGACAGACCAGGGCTTTTTAAAGCAGCACAGCCCTTTTGGAAAAGAAATCTGAAGCAGAAAGCCCATGTGTTGACAGCCACAAGCGGGCCTGCTCTAGTGAGGATGCGTGGGGGTAGGAGGGAGACGTCCAATTCGGTAAAAATCAAATGACCTGCTCACCGGATTTCTAAAAGCAGAGGTGCTCCTTACAGATAAACTCAGGAACACCCGCTCCTCATAATAAGCCATTGCAGAAGCGATCAAAGAAGCCCCCACCCCAAGCAGTAGCTGGAACTCTTTTAGGAACGTAAAACTCCACAGAACACAGACTGAAAATCACATCTCTCCCTGAGTATAAATCCATGAGCTACCTCTTAAGTACCCATTTTAAGAGGAGGAAAAAAAGTCCCAGAAAGAAAGCAACTTGCCCAAGGTCACACAGCTAGTTGGACCAGAAACAGGACCAGGCCTTCTACATCAATTCCAGGCTCAGTCCCTTCTCTGAAGGCTCAGAACAACCCTGACCCCCACCTAACACATAACTACAGTCCCCCACCCTACCCCCGTTAAAGGCCAGCTGTGGCGGAGCATAAAAAGGGGGCTCAGAAGGACACCTGAGGGCCCACCCTCCCCGCCAAGCCTGAGAAGGGACCCTTCCCCACCCGCACCCTGGCCCTTACTGGTAATGCTTGTCCCACTCGGGCCTCCGACGCAGGTCTGAGAGCAGCAGGAAGGCGTGGGCTGCATCCACATGCACCAGCATCTCCATGTGGAAGGAGAGGTACTTGTCATCCTCCAGAGTGTACAGAAGCACCTGCATGGGGCAGAGGGCGGCCTCATTCCTGCATCCCCCTCCCCAGGCTAGGCTAGTGGAAGGGTGGGCTGACTGGGATGTTGGAGGCCAGGGCTGCAAGCTCAGGACCACCAATGACTTGCTGAGTGACTGTGGATAAGTGACTCAACCTCTCTGAGCCTCAGTCCCATCCCTATGAAAGAAGATGTTGGGAGAATTCAGCACAAGTGGACAGAAACATGTCTTACAAAGCAGTGACTGAGGCAACAATGGAATAGCTCTTCAGAGCCGGGTGCCCACCCAACCCCCTATGTCATGGGTGGGGAAGTGACTCATCCTAGAGCACAAGCAAGAGTGGCAGAGCTTGTCTTCCCTCAGCCTGTGTTTGTCCACTGCCCCCCACGCACCCCTGCTGTGACTCACAGTACAAGGAGCAGAGAGAGGGAGGAGGTGGCTGGGCAAAGAGCAGCAGGGATGGGAGACGGGGGCAGGAGGGTGGGCGGGCAGGCGAGAAGGGTTCGGAGGCTCTCCGCTCCAGGCCCTGTGAGGACAGGTGTTTCCATGACCGGGTTGGCTTCATGATCTCATGCCCTTTTGACATGAGTGGCTTGAGAGACTTCGTGTTGCTTGCAGTCAGCCACCTCTGGCTGCTCAGAGGAGAAATGGCGGGTGGGTGGGTGGGTGGGGTCGGCTACCTGGTTGAGCTCCGAGGACAGCACCCAGTTGTCCTTGGCCACAAGCATCTTCAGGGAGGAGACATTGTTGTAGCTCAGGTACACCTGGACAGGGAACACAGAGATGCCTCGCCTTCTCCCCTTCTGCAGGGCGCGGTGCCGAGGCCAGGTTGAGGGGGGAGAAGAACTTGGGTCATGGAGGAGGGTGGGTGCTGGGCTTTGAGGAAGGAGGCCCAGACCTGGCCAGACTCAGCCAGTAACCTGGACAAGCCACACCTCCTCTCAGGGCCTCAGCTCCCTCCTGCCAAACAGGGGCAAAGGAAAGCCCTTCGCTAACTGTATGAACCTTGAGGCACTAGTATCCTGTCCTCTTCCAGCCTACCTCCAAACCCACTCTGACGACAGGGAAGGTGGGGTCCCCAGTGGGCCGGAGGACTCTCCCCTCAGAGCCGAGGGCCTTACCTGGTTGCTAGGGTCCCAGGGGACAGAGAGAGGCACCTCCGTCTGCTTACAGGACACGATGTACTTCCTGGGAGAGAGAGATGACAACCTTGACCTCTCGGGAGCCCATCTCTTTGGACAGGCTGCACTGCGTGCCAACCGTGTGCAGCCCTGTGCTCAGCCCGGCAGGTGGGAGAGGCTCCTATCTGCCTGGGGAGACTGGGCAGATACACAGAACACAGCAGCGCAAACACGCAGACTCGGACAGAGGTGAACGGGCGAGAGGAAGGGTGCTGCTGCCGACGCTGGTGCCCGGCAAAGGCTCAGTGCCCCACACCCTGGCTGAGCTAAAGCGACTTCACCCCCATGCCTCAGTGTCCCCATCTGCGCGATGGGATCTAGAATCACACCTGCCTCGTAGGATCGTCATGTGAACAGTGCTGGGCCCATAAATCCTCCATAAAGAAGCTTTTCTTATTAACAACGAAAGGTGGTGGAGACCTCAGGTGTGTGCTCAGCTCTTTTAAGTTTGTAAAGCGCTTCCTTAGCAGAGTCACTCAGACCTGGGTTTTTATCCTGAGCTATCACTTCTCTCAGGGCCTTTCTTCGTCTGCCAAACGGGCATCAGAGTCAATGGTGGGAATGAAAGATTTTAAATTGGCCAGACCTGGCCAGGTTCAATTCTCACTCTGCTAGCTCATTGTCCCTGCCTGTGTGCCCACAGTCACACTCCCTCCGTTACCAATGTCCTCACTAACAGTGGGCCAGGCAGGCAGCTGTGGAATGACGCTACATGGAGGTGAAGGGCCCAGCCAGTGCCCAGCACAGATGTGGCATCAAAGAAATGCAAGTCCCTGAGGCTAGGGGGGTGAGTGGACAGCCCTGGACCCTGCGTCCCCTCCCACCGCCCAGCCCCAACTTGCCTGTCCAGGCGGATCTTCCTCCTGGCACTGGCCTCTCGGTACCGCCGCTCGCCATCCTGGGAAGAGAAGCAGGGACAGGCTATGATACAGGTGGGACAAACAGCGTGCCCCCACCCCTGGCACTGTCTGACCATGCGGGCACAAGGGCCAAGGAGGCCCTGCAGCCCTAAGGTACTCAGCCTCACCGGGACAGCAGGAGTCAAAGCAACCTGGACAGCAAATGCCAGGCCACTGAGCTCCGGCCCCGGCTTCCTCTCAGGCCCTCTTAGTGCCCAGAAATGCCGCCTGCCCTCACCAGACCTCAGTCTCCACCTTGGTAGAAGGGGGTCCCTCAGGGCACTTACAGTGGTAATTAGAAACCACATTTACTGCCCTGCTGGGTAGCTCAATGGGAGCATCGTCCTGATGCACCACGGTCGTGGGTTCAGTCCTCAGTCGGGGCACATACGAGAACCAGTGAGTGCACAAATGGGGGAACAACAAGATCGATGTGTCTCTCTCTCCCTTTCCCTTGCTCTTTCTAAAATCAGTAAATACAGTGGTTTAACTGTTTAAAAAGAAACATTTATTGAGCACTTGCTATGTACCAGGCATTATTCTAAAGTACTTTCCATTCAAAACTGCATGTAAACCTTATAGCAACCCTCTGAGGTTGGGACTAGTATGATCCTCATTTTACAGAAGAGGAAACTGAGGCACAGAAAGGCTAAGTGGCTTTCCCAAGGTCACAGGGGGAGAGTGGAGCTGGGAACAGAATCCCACAGGCCTGACTCAGTGCCTGCCCCCATAGCGACTGCTTCTAATGTGTCCGGGCTCATGAGTGATGAATGGCGAAGGCCTGCAAGACGCCTTGGGGCCTGCACACTGGGCTGTCCGTCTGCCGGGCTCCCCCCCTGCCCCCACCCACTCTTGACTGCCCAACACCCAGCTGTGGAGCGGGAATTTCACAGCCCATACTCAGCTTTGTGAGGCAGGCGGGCAGGCAGGGCAGGGACCTCTCCAGAGAGAGGGAACAGCCTCTCCAGTCTCCCTCCCTGGCCCTCTGCAAGCAAGCCAGGCCTGGCCCACTGGGGGCACAAGGGAGCATTGTGTACAGGATGGCTCTGAGCCAAGGCCCTGACTCTCATCCCTGTGTCCTTGCTCTCCTATCACCATCATCATAACAGTCACCACTTCGTGTGTGTCTACAGGCCTTAGCCTGGCTGGGGTCAATAGCCCACAGCCTGAGAGTCCTGGCCTGCAGGTGCACCTGCTTTACAGATGGGGGCTGAGAGCTCACAGAAGGCACCCACTAGACCTGACTCCAAGGCCAGGACTCTTCCAACTCTGTCGCACCCACTATAAGCCAGGCCCACATGCCTGATCTGAATTCTTTCAGACAGAACAAGTTTCCCCCTGGGCACAAGGGGCCTCTCCAGGGGTCACACCAGGGCAGTCAGCACTGGCTGTGCCCCAGCAAAGGGGCAGGGCTGGGCTTGTCACCCTCAGGGCCTATCAGGGGCTGGCAGGCACCCCCACCCTGGGCAGAGAGGGAGGGGAGCTGGTGGAAGGGCAGGGTGCTGCACCCACTCACCCCAGGCTGGGGCCGAATCCAGGGCAGCCTCTGGGGCTGGTCATCTGCGTCCAGGACCACAAAAGTCATGAAGGCGCTGTTGATGTGCCGCCGATGGGTCTCCGCCTCCTGGCGGTAGGCCTCCACGCACACGCCCACCTCCATGCTGAGGGGGAGAGAGGGCAGCTCTCACGCTGGCCAGGTCCTCCCCCATCCCCAACACACATGCGCCCACACGGTGCGTGCACACACAGACACTCCTGCAGCTCTTCCCGGATTGCAGCCCCACTGGCAGGAAACCCAGAACGGTTCCCTCTCGTCAGTGTTTACAGAGCACCTGCTGCATACTTGGCCCTAGCCAGTCACTGGGGATGCAGAAGTGAAGAAGCCCATCCGTCCATGACCTTGAGGGCTGACATGGGGGTGCAGCAACCAACACATATACACACACACATATGTGATACATAATGATAGCATATTATGACATGTTAGAGAGAACACAAGGAAGGAAGTAGAGGGAGGTACAGAGCCCAATGAGAAAAAAATGTTCATTATACAATCAGCAGCACACTAACAGCTCAGTGGCTGCAGTTTCTGTATGTCCGACTAGCTTCATTAATTATAAAATAGCAGCCACCACCAGCCCCTCACTGAAGAAGATCCTGATCCCGGATGTTACACAGCCGGGAAGGCCAACACCTGAACGGGGCAACAACTTGCCCGGAGCCACACAATAGTCAGGAAGAGAATCTGGACTAGAAACCAGGCCTCGCGGCTCCCTGTTCATGGCAGCAGAATGTGTGCGGGCCGGGCTGTGAACAATAACAACAATAATAGTAACAGCGGCGGCGGCAGTGGTGGCTGCAGTGGTGGCAATGGCTGACCTTCACTGAACCTCTCCTCTGGCGTTCTACTAGTAACATGTCATTGGATCCTTAAAACTGTAAACAACTGTGGTGAGCCCCATTTTACCAGGAGGGAACCGAGGCTCAGAGGAGTTAAGTAACTTGCCCAAAGTCACACAGCTGGTAGGAGGTGAGCCCACCTGGAACCCAGGCTGCCTGGCTCCAGATCCTTCACTTTTATCCACTACCCTATGATCTTTGCAAGCACCAAAAAACATAGCTATTTAAAGTAAGCTTTCATGGTAGTGGGTATCAGGATTCATTTCAAAGGTGAGGGCTCTAGGGACTAGGTTTTGTTGTAGGTGAAGGGTGGGAAAAGGTTGGATGACAACAGAACACTGTGATCCACAGCGTGACAGGCACGGAGGCCGGGGCCGGGAGAGACACAGAATGAACAGATGGTGTGACCCAAGACGGCAGGAGACCTGGGGCCCAGTGGAGGGAACACTGAGGCCGGGTCTTAGTGAAGGTGAAAGGACCCGGCAGCGCGGCAGGATTTAGACCTCGATGCAGGGTGAAGGGTGCCTGGCAGGTTTGCATTAGGGCGCCTTCTCAGGTGAGGAAGAGCCCTCAGCCCCCGGAGCCCCGGTCCCGCCCATCCCAGCCCCTCACCTATGTTTGAAGGCGTTGTTCACAATGGCCTTGAGCACCAGGCGGTCCCCAACCTGGGATGGTCCCCGGAAGTGAAACATCTCAATGGCTTTCAGCGTAGGGTGGGCACGACACAGCCGGCTGGAGGAGGCCGGGCGTTGGGGGACAGAAGAAATGCCCTCAGTGCTTCAGCCACTGGTTTGAGGCAGCCTCTACCTCCACCCGCATCTCCAGACCCAGGCAAAACCACAGGCGCCGCTTTCAGGCCCACCCACTCCCACCCAGCGACTGCTCTGCCCAGAGGAACAGAACTAAGTCTCACTTCAGAGCTTAAAATACTGTGGTCTGTGTGCATGGCTGGAGAGCAGCTGAGTTTGAGGTGATGATAGAACAGAGCCTAGGGCAGGGCTTGGGGTAATCCTATCCCATTTTCCTTCCAACCTTTATATCTTAGCATCTGCTGTCCTTTCTACCTGGAAGCCCTCCCCTTACCCAAAGCTACTTGTCACTCAAGGCCCAGCTGAAATGCTCTTCCTCCAGGAAGTCTTCCCTGACTATCCAGACTCTGACTGTCCTCTGAGATCTTACTGCACTCATAGCTTGGGCTGCCTAAAAGGGCATTGCTTAGGCACTGTGTGCCATCCATTAAACACAGAGAAAGGGCCACTGAAGCAAGGACAAGGGTAAGGAAGAATTTGCCTAAGGAGGGTGTGGGCTGGGAAGAGCACTCCTGGCAAGAGAAACAGCAAGCACAGTTATGAAGGTATAAGAGTGTCATTTAGTGAATGTCAGTATCCTAACCATAAAAATGCCTGTTATTTGGGGTAGGATGAGCCCAAGACAGGCTCAGAGCTTAGAAGAGAAGGAAGGAGTGTTTCAGGTCTAGGAAGAAGAGAACAGTCAGAGAGGCTTCATGGAAGAGGTGGGCAGGATCTTAGCAGTGAATAGAGGGGTGGCCAGTAGGGGGTCAGACCAGGATCAAAGGCACTGGGAACTTGGAGGGTGGGAAGGGGAAGGGCAAATGGCTTGATGTGCAGGGAGTATAAGATACAGGAAGGCAGCTGCAAGGTCAGGTCAAGGGGAGGCCCTGGTACCAGGCCCAGGGACTTGGTATGTCCCGGGCAGGAAATGAGAACCATGCAGGGCTTTTATTTCCCCCCTAAATTATAAGGTAGAGTTTATTTAGAAAGTTACAGAGGTAGCAGAAGGGCCCTTGGAGCTTAGGAGAAAGAGGAGGAGAGGCACCGGAGTGCTCTACCAAAGAGCACGCATGCCCTGGGGAAAGAGAGCCGCCCACCCACGCAGGGCTTCTTCAGTCAGAGGAGGAATGGCCAGCTCAGGGAAAATCACTGTTTTCTGGTTCTCTGCGTCTGAATGTTTCAGGTTACCTTAACAGAACAGCCAAGCTTCTGAAGCCTCGAATGCCAACTCCAAGCTGGGGTTGGCTAAGGGAAGGAGGGGAGAAAGGAAGGGAGGCAGAGGCAGAGGCAATACACTCTCCCCTCACCTGGCTGCAATGGTGGCCACGTTCTCCATCCAGGCCATGATCTGGCCCCCGAAGGTGTTGCCCTGGTGATTGGCGTGGGGGGGCAGGACCAGCTCCACACTCTCCACGCGCGTCTTCTCAGCCGGCACCATGTAGCTGCAGTCTCTGCTCTCCAGATCTGACCAAGGAGGGGCAGAAGGAGAGAGAAGGGAGGTGAGAAGCTTCCCAAGGGCAGAGCCTCCGCATGGGCAACCCAGGAGCCCACCGCCACCTCCCCAGCCCACCCACATTATTTTATTTCCTCAGCACCAGTGTGCTGGACCAACATGAGGAAGGGGAGGAAAACACAGAGAGAGACAAGGCGGGCACAGAGCAGGGGGCAGAAACCAGCACTGAGACAAAGCACACCTGGGTCTGCACTTCAGCGCCACCCCATACAGGCTGTATGACCTTGGGCTAGTCAAGCAACCTCTCCTGAACCTCAATTTCCCCATCATAAAGAGCAGATGACAAACCCCACCCAACAGGACTGTGAAGATGAAATGCAATCTTGGTTCCAGAGTGCCAGGCACCAAACTCAGTAGCACACTCTCAAAAGGGGTAGTTCTTCCCTCCCTCTGCCCTGACATGCCCTATCCCTCAGGGGCGATGGCCTTAAGGTACCCTTAGTAGGAGAGGCCAGAGAGGTCAGGGAATCAGATGCTGACATGCCCTACCCAACCCAAGGAAGTGCCACCTCCCAGGAAGGAAGACTTCAGCAGGGAGGGCCCATCAAATAGGCAACACTTTGCTTGGCTTGCAGGCTGCTCGCAGATGCCAGAGGCAGGGAGTAGGGGAGGTTACAGGCCTGAGCTGAGGCCTGGAGGCAGGATGGTAGGACAGGCACAGTCCTGGGGAGCAGCCAGGCCTTGGTCTTAGCAGGAGCAGACGGCGAGTAAGGGACAGCACCAGATGAGGCTGAGCAGTCAGCCAAGGGCCTGGATGCCAGGCTGGGGCATTTGGACCGATCCTGGGGCAGAAGGGCTGGGAGGACAGGAGGGGCTTAGGAGGACTGCAGTCAGATGGATGGCTGCAGGGAGCCTCGACGACTCATGTGCCCAGCCACAGCCCCCAGGCCCGGAATAAATAGGGCACACAAAATTAGAAGCACAGCCCACTGATTTCATTGGGGTTAGCTAGTTCCTCCCCTCCCTGCTCTGGGGAGCTAAACTATCTTTTACTTGTCCTAAAATTGCCTCTTTAAAGTTTCAAGAAATACTCCACACCCTCTCCACCTGTCCAAATCCTACCAGTCCACCGCAGATCTGAGTGTGCTGGCACAGAATGATCTCTAAGATGCACATGTAAGGAGGAAGAGGCCAGATACAGAACAGTTTGTGCCATAATTCCCTTTTGGGTAAAAGAGGGGCTACATGATACACAGTGGGCTTAAAATGCAGGGAATGCTTCTGGAAAGATCCCCAAAGATGAAAAGCAGTAGGTGCCTCTGGAGGGGACCCGGGTTCTGGAGTAGGAGAGTCTTGCTTTTTATTCTGTCTCTAGCTCTATATCTATGCCCACACATATACCTTACCTTTGTATCTGTCTATCTATCTATCTACCTACCTACCTATCTCTATGCTTTTTAAGAATCCTAGAGTCTTCAAGTTCAAGCTCAACATAACCTTCCCAAGTACCTTATATCCTAGAGACCCAAATGCATTTGTCGATGACAAAGCCTTTCCCTCATGGCTGCTGGGAGCTGGTGGAGAGGCACTCCCCTTTCACTGAAGGAGACCTTGAGGCAAGAGGGCCAGACAGGCCTAAGACCACCAGTGGGTAGACATTCCAAGGAAATGCCTTTCCTCCCTCTGCCCAGTGGGGGCCCAGGGCAGAGAGGAAACACCAGTTGCCCCCGTCCTCAGCTGCTCACCATCCTGAATGACGTAATTGGCCAGGAGGTCCTTGATGGTATCGGTGTAGACCAGTCGCATGCGCCGGCGCTCAGCTGCCACGCTGTGCTCAGTTTTCTCCTCCTCCGTCCGTGGCGTGATCTGCTTCAGCTTCACCTGTGGGCAGGGGTGGGGTGGGGGATGCTTGGGACAGGGTCCCTGAAATAGTGCCAGCTGCCATCTCATGCCTGGGGCTGCTAGATGTTACAAGTCTCTGTCCCCGCTTTGTCCACATCCTTCTTTTTCTGTGTTGATGGATACCCCATGTACACCCTCCAAATGACCCCTTCTGGGGTAAAGGCGCAAGGGATGGGGGTGGGAGTCACTACAGGACATGAAAGAGAATGGTGAGACCCAAGAATCCTCATGTGAGACACGCAGGGAGAGGTGGGGAGAAGGAGAGAGGGAGGGCGCCTGGGGCCGGGCAGCAGGTGGGGAGGGGGGGTCTTCCTCTAGAGGCTGCTGACTCCCTGCCACACTCCTGCCTCCACCCCTCTGCCAAAGCTCAGCCTCACCGCCCTGGTCCAGGCCCGCCGTGCCCAGTGGCCAGGTGGCCTGGCAGTGTCAAGCAGCCAGGTGTAGCCGCCTACCTTGGAGAGTTCACGGTGGGCCACAAAGGTGGCCAAGGCCTTGCACACGTTCCATCGCTTCTCAGAGCACAGGTCCTCGGAGGACACTTGGATGCCCACCTGGAGAGGGAGAGTAGGTGAGGAGTGAGGGGGGAAGAAAAGCAGCTCGCACACCTGAAGCCCCATGGCTCAAGGAGACAGGAAGTCCCACCCCAGGCCCGGGCTCTACTAGTATTTCTACCAGGGGTGTCAAACTCATTTCCACCAGGGGCCACATCAGCCTCGCAGTTGCCTTCAAAGGGCTGAATGTAACTTTAGGACTGTACAGATATAACTACTTAAGTAGGAGCAAGGAGCTCAATACCGCTGCTGGGTAGAAACAAGGCTCCGGGCCAGGGCTGCATTCGGCCCTCGGGGCTTGTGTTTGCCACCTGTGTTCCAGACCCACCCAGTCCAGGAGCCTGCTGGGGTAGGTTTGATTCTGCCCTGGGCTCCCTGGGAAACTTTGGGCAATTCATTTCCCTTCTCTAGGCCTCAGTTTCCTCATCTGTAAAGTGGGGACAACCATACCCACCCTCTCAGGGATATTGAGAGGATTAACATGAGACTGTGTCCATGAAAGAGCTTAAAGTAAGTGTTGGTGAAACTGAAAGGAAGGGCATGTGGGGGTACCTGGGCATTTATGAGGGGCCCAGAGGGAGAGACAGGGCTCGCTAACTCAGCCCCAGTGGTCCCTCAGTAATCACTGGCCAGCTGGGTGAAGCGCCTTTGATCTAACATTCGTGGGAGGTGGAGTCCCTCTCCCAGAGCTCACAGAACCCGGTGCATCACCAAGAGTCCTTCAGCAACCCTAAGGCCCAGGAGTCGTGCTCCCACCTCACAGATGGGGTGACAGAGTCTGAGGGAGGTGACCTAAGGACTGGAGTTGGTGCTCTCCCTGCTCCAGCCCCCGACCTCCAGGGTCAGGTCCAGCAGCTGTCCTCCTTGCACTTCCACAATCACGTGGCTGCTAAAGACAGGGTCTGAGGCTAGGCGTGAAGACCCAGGAGGCCACAGGTCAAGTCCCACAGTGGGATCTATGTGGCTCAGCAATCTGGGGCAAATCCCTTCCCTCCCTCCCTGGGCCTCACTTTTCCCTTCTGTGTTATGAGGTGATGGATGGGAAGATCCTCCCAGCCCTGCCAGCTGGTTCAGAACTCTGCTGCCTCCACCAAGGCTCTGCCAGTGTGAGTGTGCCTGGGCTGGGGGCTGAGAGTGGAGAGGATGTAGGAAGCCCACTCAGCACCCTCTCATCCCTAAGCAGTGCCAGCCCCTCATACCTCCATGCTGGAGTTGAAGGCACGGTTCACCTTGGCCTTGATGTTCACCACTTGTCCAATGCTGGGAGAGAAAAGCAGGAGGTGAGCCTTCCACAGGGGACAGAGGGAAGGAACCGAGCCCCCAACACTTGCAAGGCCTCTTCTGAGGTGAACTGGCAGCAGAATGAGTTTACAAAGCATATTCACATATGGATGTCACCTGAGTCCTCGAAGCAAGCCAGCAAGACAGCGTTAGCACCACGTTTATAGGAGGGCAGCTGAGGCTGAGAGGAAAGTCATGATTTCATCCATCTGCTCCCTCTCCCCGACTCCCCCTTGTCCAATGGATGCTCGAGCTTCTGCCCACCGGTCCCCTCCCCAGGGAAGCCCTCCTGCTCCACTGTAGCTCTGCAAGGTTTGCCGTCCTAACACTTCTTCCAGCAGACTGACCTCTGTCTTCCCCACAGTCCTTAAGCTCCACTGGGTCAAGGCCTAGCACAGGGCACAGGGCGGTACCTCCACACATAGAAGCCTACTAAATTTACACATTCCACACTTACTACATACCTACTAAGAGCAAGGGGCTATAAACAGAGGGTGGGAAGCAAAATTAAAACATTTAAAGAATGCCTACTATGTGCCAGGCACTGTAGTTGACCTCATTTGAGCCTTAAAACAAGTGTGACACACAGGTTTAGGGGCAGATTGAACATCAGAGAGGATAAGACAGTTGCCCAAGGTCACCCAGCTAAAGGTGACAAAACCAGGATTCTAGACTGATTCTGTTGACTGCTCTGGCCTGCTCCTCTGGAATGCGTCCCACATCTGGACAAACAACCAGAATCTTGCAGGGAGCCACCCAGCCTGCCCTAAGCTTACTTGCTCATTTTTTTAAAGTTTCTTTTAACAGTTCTAACAGTAATGCAGGGGACTATCATTTTTAGGACATGCATGCCGACATGTGGAGGGATGAGTATCATGATGTCTACGACTTACTTTCAAATGATTCCACAAAAACAGAGAGGGAGAGAAAGAGACAGACTATTTATTTACCCATAGATAAAGCAAATTTAGCAAAATGCTAATTATTGAATCTCAGTAATTAACCGATGGAGAACATTTCACTATTCGACTTTTCTAGAATCTTGAAAGTTTTTGTGATAAAAAAGTAAATAAAAGAAAACTTCCATTACCCACAAAATAAAAAAAAAAGTTTCTTTTCTGTGGCACTAAAAAGAAATCTGTGACTCTACCCCCATCCCACCCTACCCCCTCGTCCTCACCCTCCTCTTCCTCCTCCTCTCTAGCTTCTCCAAAAGCCCAGCAGACAACCGTGTGAACGTCGAAGGCCCTCTTCCTTCCTAACTGCCCTCCACCCCACAGCTCAGGTGAAACTGGCCCATGCCCCAGCATCACTGCCCAGTCTCTTTGGGGGTCCCTTCAAGCCCCAAGCCCCGCCCAGGTGTTCACCTGGCAGAGAGGCAGCGACCATAAACAAAGCTGACCCCTATTCAAGCCCTCCTCCAGGACCAATTTACTCTCAGGGGACAGAGGAACATTTAAATGACACCCAGTGATGCTAACAGCGAACCCAGGTGATGGAGAACTCCAGGAGGCAAGTGACCAGGTTTCCTGAACAAATGAATTTCAATGAGAAAGTGAGAGAGAGAGAGGTGGTGGGGGAAGAGAGTGCTGGCGGAAGGTAGAACATCTATAGGTTGTTTTTTAAAAACCTTAAGAAACAATGTCAACCAATTGCAACCTTATTTGCATCCTGACGTGAACAACAAAAGTAGCTGTGAAGCAACCAAAACAGAGACAAACTCGTGAGAGTAGTGTGGGCAGTTAAGGGCTGACTGGATGTTTGATGTGCAAGAGAAATTATTGTTAGTTGTGTTTAGGTGTTTTGGTCTTGAGATTAAGTTTAAAAAGAGTTCTTACCACTTAGCGATACATTTTGAAATATTTTTAAATGGCAAAACCAAAAAAAAAAAAGTCCCCAGTTTTCCTCAGGTGCAGCCAAGCCTTTCCTGGGTACCAACCATGTTCCAGGCCCTTCCCCAGCTTGCCCTCCTTCCCAGGATCCTCTTCAGCTTTCCCTTCCACCAACACCCTCCTCTGCCCAGAACTACCTTCACCCTGCTGGGTCTTGCAGCAGACCCATGCATTAGGCATGCATCCCCCCACCAGCCTCTCCCTAGCTGCTATGAGCACCAGAATCTGTGCTGGCAGCAGAGACTCAGAGATGGCCCAGAATAACACGGTAGTTCTTCAGTGTCACTGCCTACACTGCTGACAGCACTGGAGCCAGCTCAAACACTTCCTCCAGGAAGCCACCCTTGATTACCCTCTACGCCACTATACCTACCCCTAGACATATAGGAAATGTGGTCCACTGGTTAAGAGCAAGTGTTCTGGGACCAGGCTGCCTGCTTGGTAGTACAGCCTGGGTCCTCCTCCAGCTGTATGACCTTAAGCAAGTTATTTCATGTCTCTGTTCCTCAGTTTCTTATTTTGTAAAATGAAGATATTAATAGCCAGGCCCTCACAGTATTTATCTGAGAATTAAACAAGTTAATATATTCAAAAAGGCATTGTAAATAATGCATCAATATTGGTTCATCAATTGTGACAAAGGTACTATGTGAATGTAAAATTTTAATAGAGGATCTGGATGTGGAGTATATGGAATGCTCTGTACTATCTATAACTGTTTAGTAAATCAATAACTATTCAAAAATAAAAAATATTTAGAAAAAGTATCACAAAGCACCCGTATGTCAGAGATCATCACGAGCATGGAACTTACCCTATGAACTGAAATTAAGTTTCTATGTCTGTCTCCCTGCAGCTGGGCGCTCGGGGGCGCAGGGACCACACCCCAGCCGACTGTGTGTGCCACGCACCCGGCACGGGCCCTCATCCGGAAAAGGTGCAAGTAGTGAGAAATGACTGAAAAATGAATACAAGGACTGGCCAGACCTTTCCCTTAATCACAACACTCTGGGCACCAAGGAAGTCCTGAATAAGCCCTTGGCCCTGATGGAGAACTTAGGAGCCAGCAGGGAGGCCAGAGCACTGTAAGCAGACCCTACAGCCTGTCCTGGGCTGAGGTCCTGGCATGGTCCTTGGGTCCCAGCAAAGCTCCACAGAGACAAAGCTCAACCCAGTGTAATGAAGAGCTTTCTAACAAGCAGAGGCATTTAAAAAAAAAAACAAAAACCGAGAGGCAGTGAGCTTCTTATCCCTGAAGCTATGTGAGCAGAGATTGAATGACCCAAGCTTCTGGCTCAGGCTTTGCCAGGGCACCTTGTCTAGAGAACTCCCTATAGTCCAGCAACCAGTAACCCACAGAGAATGCCTGAGGTCAAAAAGGCATTCACTGGTTAAGTCTAATCCCTTCCGGGGAACAAGCTAGACTTCACCAAAGTCACACAGCACCCCATGATGCTGCCTCAGCAACATTCAACTCCAAATTTGAAGCAACTTCCTTGGCTCCACCCCAGCTGAGGGAACCCCCCCTCCCACCCCCACAGCAACTAGCAGCAAGCCAGCTCCCAGCCCACCACTGTCCCAGAGTCCCTGCATGTAGGTCCTTGTTTCCCAGAGGCTTCCCCCACTTCATCTGCAAAGGCCATCAAGTTCCAGGCAGGAGAGGCAGGGGAGGGATCCCTAGGCTTGTAGTGGGGTACCCAGAAGTACCTAGAGGCAGGAGGGGCCGCTTACCTAATGGTGTGCTCAAAATAGATATCGTCCATGGAGGCGGTGACGCAGAGACAGCCGGCATGCCTCTCCGCTGGCATCAGGAGAAGAAAGCCACGCGTTAGCAGCCTCCCACATTATGCAGACCTCTGATCAAATGTCAGCCCTCCCGAGCTAGGGCTATGCCTCCTCACCCTCACCCTTTGTTACTTTTCTTCAAGGTTGCCGTGTCCTGTTTTGTGTATCTGGTCTGTCTAGCATCTCTCCCTTCTGTTCAGCTGTGTTCACTGAGGGCAAGAATTTTTGCCTGCCTCGTGCATGGCTGCACCCCAGTCCCAGAAGAGTGCCTGGCACAGAGTGGACACTCAATAGGTAGCTGTTGAATAAATGAGTGGTCATACCAGCCATTCTCCTTCCCAGCCTTCTAGAGTCCCACCCGTCTGCCCAGTCACCTTCACCCACCTTTGTTTGCAGGCCTGAGTCATTCTCACCCTCTGGGCTCTGCCCAGGTGCCCTAGTCCCTCCAGAACCCCTTCTCTGTCCCTGCAGCCCGTTCTCTCACTGCCCCAGTTTCATCTCCCTTTCCCAATCCCCCAAAAAAGAGTGCGTGGGGGCAGCTGGGTCACCTGTCTGTCCCACCTCCCCCGCATCAGACTCAAGCTCCCTGTGGCTTGGAGGACACTGGGACATCATAAGGAATAAAATGAGTTGAATTCAGCTCAACTCAGTGCAGAGAGCTCTTTAAGGCAGACAGCAAAGTGCCTGCTCACAGCACTCCTAAGCCAGTCTTGGAGCGGCCATGTTCACGGCCTCGCTGTGCTGGAGCAGGGACCTACGGTCACGCAGAGCTGGGGGGCTTGGGGGAGACAGCAGGCCAGAGCTGCACATCCAGAAATTGGAGAAGGCATTGCAGGCAGGCAGGCTGAGATGAGAGATGAGTGTGGCACTCAGGGAGACAACGACCACCCCAAAAGAATCTCAAAAAATCGAGGCCTCTCCTCTGGGTGTGTGGGGCCAGTGGGGGGAGGGCGGCTGTGCCGATGGCAGTCTCACCGGACAGGCAGGCCGTGGTGTCGATCCACTTGAGCAGCTGCCCGATGCTCAGCTGGCCACGCTGGTTGGTATGGCAGGGCAGCACCAGCTGGCTCATCTGCACCTCTGTGGGGTTCCGGTACCCCTCATCGTTGGCCATGGCTCTGTCTTTGAAGTCTGTACGTGAGGCTGACTTCCGGGACTGGCGACTGGGGAACACAGAGGCGAGGCCCTGGGAACAGGTAGGTTCAGAGAGGTCAGCTCACTGCAGGGCCTCCTGGGTCTGCCCCTCCCTAAGACCTGAGGGCCAGAGGGAGAAGAGAGAGCCCCTGGGGCCGCCTCCCACCACCCTCCAGCCCAGGGGCATTCTGGATGTCATTTGTGCCCAGGTCCCTTTTAGCCAACAGTTCCATGTTAACATGACCTTGGACCCGAGAGAGAGATAGGGGAGAGAGGGGTCATGCTCAGAATTCAGTCCTCCTTGCTTCAACTGGTGGGTCAGCATTTTAAAGTTTTGCCTCTGATTGACCTTCATGCTTAAAAGATTTCCCCTCTCCATGCAGAGGCCTAGTGAGTCCCTACCCAGCATGCCTGAGGACTTGTTCCCAATAAAGTGTTTCAAGAAGCAGCTACTCTTTCATCCCCCAAGGGCCCCTTCCCCGAACTCCTTGTTCTTCAGATGACACCTCTGCTGGGTGCTCATCTGTCTCTAGCATTTAGCTCTACTGACTTGGAGCACTCGGGACAGTCTCTGAACAGCTGTGTGATCCAGGGCAGGGCTCCAGCAGCTGCCAGCTGGAGAACCAGCTGAGAAAGTCCTCAAACTCATGAAGCAGAGGTGGAGTTTCTGCCCAGGGCACAGGTTATGTTAGTCCTCAGGCAGAAGAGGTGGTGAGGCCTTAGCAGTGGGTGGATGGGGTGGATGAACCTGCCATCCCTTCTCTCTCCCTGATCACACTGTGAACAAGGGCTGGGTACCCCTGCACATGAGGGAAAAAGGACAGGAGGGGCGGGCACGAGTTCCGATTCTCATGGCCATTGCCAATTGTGGTAATGATAACAGTTGCCACCAATATTTATATAGCACTTAATAAATATCAAACACTCTTCCAAGCACTTTGCATGTACCAGTTCAATTTGATCTGCACAAGGAACCCTTAAGTTAGGTTCATTACTATCCCCACTTCACTGATGAGGAAACTGAGGCCCCAAAAAGTGGCAAAGCTTAGCTTTACCCCAGAGGTCTGGCTGCAGGCTGAGGTTCTACCCACCATGGCTCACTGCCTGCAGGGGCTCCTGGGGCTGAATGAGAAGAAAGCCAGGGGCCTGGGCCTGGATTCAGCAGCAAAGAGTGCCAGGACTTGATGCTGACCCTACCACTGCTGCAGATGGTGGCAGTGACAGCTCAAGGCTGTGAGGGCCCTCATACCAGGGGTGTGTACTCCTTAGATAGCTCCCCCCGTGAAGCTCTGTAGCCAATTCAGTAAACTCAGAACACACCGACATGACTGATTCAAGGTCACTGACTCGTGAGTGGTAGAAAGGGGACTTGAACAAGGCCTGTCTGACCTAGAACAGCTTGTAGGTCCCCAGAGAGGCAGCTGATTCCCATGAGCCTCTGGGTACCAGGAACAGTGCTGGGCACCAAGGGGACAGAGAGGAGGGTGGCTGTCCCAGGAGCTCTCAGCTTGGGTGGAAGCCTTTGAGGTGCCAGGCTGCCAGCCTTGCAGGATCTTGCAGGCATCTCACAGGCCTTGTGGTCTAAGCAGGAATGTCACCATGGTAACCACTGCCAAGGCATTTCCAGCCTGGTGTGCACTGGGGGCCTGCACGGATGCGGATGCGGGTGGCTGCCTTTCCGGGTGTGGGAGATGATAGGGGGAGGAGGCAGGCAGGCTCTGTTCACCCACACTCTTCCCAAACCCCTCCCACAGCCTTGAGCTGTCACTGCCACCATCTGCAGCAGTGGTAGGGTCAGCATCAAGTCCTGGCACAGAACATTCCAGAAACAATCCTGGAGAAAGCCAGGGAAACAGGGGAGGTAAGATGCACAGTGTAAGGGGGCAGAAGCAAGGGAGCAGACGTGTGTGGTTTCTGGGCAGTTCTGGGCATGCACAGAGGGTGTCCCTGCTTCACGAGCCTATTTTCACATCCACTGCTCACTGGATCCTCACAAGGAAGGCGGACCCCATTGTTGCAGATGAGGAAGTGAGGATGGAAAAGCCCTAGACCAGCAGTCAGGACACCTTAGTTCTGATCCTTTCTCTGCTTCTCACCTGGTCACTCCCCACTCCCACTAGGCTCCTCTCTCAAGTTCTGTGAAAAGGAGTCCCTACATGCCTGAAGGCAGGATCTTTGCCTCATTCATTCATTCATTCACCAAGCGCCTCCTCTGTGCTAGGCCCTGGGCCAAACACTGAGAATGCAAAGGAGAATCGAGCCAGTCCCTTTGAGAAGTTCCTACTCTAGTGCTCATGTCTAGAAGAGTCTGGTGTGCAATAGGACCTCAGCAAAGGTTTGCAGAGGGACAAGCAGAGACAGACTTGAGTTCAAATCCAACTTCTGTCGCTCAGGTGCTATGTGATCATGAGCAAGTCCCCGCTCCTCCTGAGCCTCATCTATCACTCAAAAGGTGTGCAGGGGCAGTGGGAGATTGCCAATCCCCAGGGTATCCCCTGGTTCCGGGATTCCAGGGTCTAACCCTGCAGGGCTCCAGCATGCCCAGCTGAGATTTCCAAAGAGGAAGCTAAGGAGCCAGTTCACCTTGTCAGACAGGAAATACTGAGCTTCACCCAGCAGGGCTGAGCTCCCACCTCCCCACCCCCTGCAAAGTGTGGGACAAGCCTCACTATGGCTATCCCCCAACTCCTCTGAAAAAGAGGGTACAAAGCCCTGGGCTGTAGCACCAGCGCAGGGAACAGAGCAGCACCAGTGGCTCAGGACACGGCCTCTCAGATTCCAACTCCTTCCTTGGCTCCAAGGTAGCCTGCCCATGTCAGGCCAGGCCAGGCCTCCTTCTCGTCCCAGGGTGGGCAGGCAGCCAGCCTGGGAGGCAGGGGAGTGTGCAGCCCTGGAGGGTTTGGCCAATGGGGCCATAGAGCTGGGCCACTCCCCCCAGAGCCAGTCACAGGAAAAGCGGAGGCCCTGGACGGAGTCAGGTCCTGAGGTGGCCAGGCAGGCCGAGCCAAAACAGCTGACAGGGAGGGCGGAACCCACTAGAAAGGTGGGGCCAGAGCCATGCCCTCTCAGAAGGAAGCTGTGCCAGGCTCTGGCCCCCGGCCACAGCAGAACTGGCCAGATTTGATCATCCCAGAGTAGGCCTCGGCTGGCTACACCATTCACTCTGTGTCCCTCCTGGGCCAGCCATGCCACAGACCTGCTGGTCAGAGCAGGAGAGGCCACTTCGCCCAATCCCTGCATTGATGCGGGGGGAGACTGGGGCACACGGAAGGAAAGGCTGGTCCAGGGTCACACAGGTGGGAGTTAGGTTGAGGCCTCCTGGGCCGGGGCTCCTTCTGGGCAATTTGACCACAGCTCCCACCGACACACTTGACCTGGGTTTCCTCCCTCCCCCAGGGAGCCAAGTACAGATATCCAACCACTCTGAAGCTCTCAGCCTACCCCGCCGCCCTGACACACGCAGGGCCCTGCACTGCTTCCAAGGCCTGTTCACAGGCCTCTAGTCTCCACCGCCGTCTGGCCTCCAGGCAGCACCAATGGATCCTCCCAGAAAGCAGACCCACCGACTCGACAACCACAACCTACTGTGTCCTGCCTGGCAGGCAGATCAGTCAGTCCTTGTAACTCCTCCCACCACGGGACTTCATTCTGTCGCCTAGGACCGCACAAACCTGTCTGAACAGTAAGCTTGATCAGACAGCTCCCCTGCTCCAGACTCCTTCAGGAGCAAGGCCCTGCTTCCTGCTCCTGCCACGACCCCCAGCCGCTCGACCACAGGAGGTTCCTCAGAGCACCACTCCCATCCTCCTCCGTTCCCTGGCCACGTGGGCACTGCTGCTGCTTAAGACCCTTTTACCTGCCTTATCTGCCAGGTAAGTCCTTCCTCCTCCCTCTCCAAGCTCTGCCATCCCTGCCTCTTCCCCAAGGCGAGCCAGGGCCTCCAGGTCACCACAGCCTTGCCTGTCTCCATCACAGCACTGACCACGCTGCACAGTCACCACGTTCACAGGCGCCTCTCTCATCAGACAGGCATTTCTACAGGACAGAAACAGATTCAGGCCTGGCCCAGAGCAGGTGCCAAACACCTATGGAAGAGACTTATGGCAGGGGTCACCTTGGAGCTGAGGCCTGAGACTTGAAGATGAGGAAGGTCTGAGGTGCAGAGAGGACATGAAGGCAGCAGAAAGGACAAGCAGGAACGGGGTGCCTCGGGCAATAGGACAGCCATGGCGAAGGAAAGCGTGAGGTGAAATACTAGGTACCTGTGCAGGTAGAGACAGAGGGAAAGGGGCCAAGGAGTCCCCAGAAACCATGGAAGACTCCTGGGGAGGGCTGCAGCCCAGAGATGACCCACGAAAGGAGACCAGCCAGCAGAGAGATAGATCTTCATGCCTGCAGGAACCACCGGGAACAGCAGGCCTAGAGCGGAGGGGGCTCGCCCACCCCGGCAGGAAGGAGCAGGCTTGGGTGGCCTCTCACCTAAACCCCCATGACAAGCCTTGGAAGTCGGCCTGACCTGGGTTCAAATTGGGTTCCTCAACTAACGTGTGTGACCTCAGGGCAAACTGCTCAACTTCTGTGGGCCTCAGTTTCCTCATCTGTAAAAAAAATGGGATTATAGTACCTACCACCTCCTGGGGTCAAGAAATGAGAAACTGAATGAGATCCAGTGTTTAGAGATCCTAGCACATGCCTGCCACATGGCTAACATTTTTGAGTACTTACTGTTAGCATTATAAAGCTGAGTTTAGACTTCCTACGGAAACACAGCTGGGACAGACCCCAATATAATTCACTCACTGCAAACTTTACGCAGCCTTTTCTCATCTGTGAGCTCACCAGAACTTCATGGTGAGGGGCAATACCATTAAGGGGCAAGATTATTAGCCTGTTTCAGAGGTTCCGTGAGAATTCAAAGAGCCATGATACTGGAGCCGGGACTCAAGCCCAGGTGTGAGGCTGGGGACTAAAATGCAGGCGCCAGGGAGCTGGGACAAGCCACCTTTGACCGGCCCCCAGAGCCCCGGGCCAGGCCAACAAGAGGCCTGGTGGTCTGGCACGACCACTCTGAGCTGTCCGAGGGGGCTGCCTGACCCGATGCCCTGTCCCCACAAAGGTGGCTCCAGCTTCTCAGAGAGTCCGGGATGTCCCCCGTAGTTTCCCCACCAGCAAGGCAGGCACATTTGTCAACATCCTCAACTCTCCTTCAGGTTCCATACCTTTCTCCCAAAAAGGCTCTGAAGCAGCCTGCACACACACACACAGGATGTGCCTGCACAAACAGGGCACACATGCACACACTTGCACACACAGGACATGCCTGCACACACACACACAGGGTGCACGTGCACCGGGAGCTAAAATGAAAGCAGAAGTAAGAATCAGGAAACACAGAAGTGATTATGTTAGGAACCCAGGTGTCCGGAGATGCTGCTGCAGAGTATTCTGTTGGGACTTGAGACTCCCAGTGGACAAGGCAAGAAAGGTAGCAGTGGGTACCAGGCTCAGGTAAAAAGCGGGAGCACTCATCCAGGAAGCCAGCCTGACGGCTGGGGGGCACCAGGGGGCCATTTCACAAGCTTCTGGTTGTCATGCGCTATCAGACCACAGCTTCATTCTAGAAGATAAGTGACAGTCCGAGCGTCCTACACAAACATCCTCACGTTAGTTCCAGCTGCAGGCGTGCTGGCACTTAACATTTTTCAAAATTTTGAGGTTGGAAAGGTAGAGAATCAAATCACTATTTTTTATTAAGACTTCCCATATGCGCCCTGGCTGGCGTAGCTCAGTGGATTGAGCACGGTCTGCGAACCAAAGTGTCGCAGGTTCGATTCCCAGTCAGGGTACATGCCTGGGTTGCAGGCCATGACCCCCAGCAACCGCACATTGATGTTTCTCTCTCTCTCTTTCTCCCTCCCTTCCCTCTCTAAAAATAAATAAATACAATCTTAAATAAAAGGAGTTCCCATATGCCATTCGTTTGGTTACCATTTATTGAATACCTCGTATGTATCAAGTTCTATGCTAAGAGCTTTCAGATGTATTAATTCAGTAATTCTCATATCTACCCTAAGAGGCATTGTTAATCTACCCATTTTACTGACAAGCAAATCAAGGCTGAGAGCAGGCACATTGTGTCTGAGCACCTGGAAAGAGGCAGAGTTTGACTCTCCCAGGCCCACCAGCCAAAGTCCACGTTCATATCCACATGGAGAGCACTCCCATAAGCCTCGGAGATGGAGAAGATAGAAGAGATTCTTGGCCGAGCCTGGGAAGCTCAGTTGATCAGAGTGTCATCCCGACACACCAAGGCTGCTGGTGATCCCCAGTCAGGGCATGTACAAGAATCAATCGATGAGTGCACAAATGTAACAACGAATTCATGTTTCTCCCTCTCTTTCTCTCTCCCTTCCTCTCTCTCTCAAATCAATGAAATAAAATAAAAATAATTCTCTTAAAAAATTCTTTCCATCTGAGACTCAGAAAAGGGGAGCAAACTACCTCAAGTTGTGTAGCCAGTCAGCGATGGAGGAGAAAGCAGAGGCCACAACACCGAGCTCTGTCCGGAGCCCATGGCCTGGTGCAGACTGACCCGGCAGCAGCAGGCTTCCTCCATGTGACCGCCAGCCCTGTGGGAAGCTGCTTTGTAGGTAAGGGGCTTTACTTTGGAGTGACAGAAACGTTTTGGAACTAGATTGAGGTGCTAGCTGCACAACATGGTGAATGTACTAATGCAACTGAATTATACATTTTAAAATGGGTAATTTATGTTATATTCCACCTTGATAATATTTTTAAATTCTTTTGCAAAACATCTCAGATGAATATCAAGTAAGCCAGATAAACTGCATGAAATGTAAAATGCCAACTACCTTAACAAAAGAGATGTGGGGAGCAGACTGCTTAGCATGCTACCCGGCACATGGCAGAAATGCTAGGTAGCTTTTATTACCAGCTCTCTGGGCCTCAGTTCCCTCCTCTGTCCAATGGAGCATTTAACTGCAGTCTCCAAGACCTGGCTTCTGGGAGGAAGTCCTCGGCGAGGCCCCGGGGCCCCTGGCAGACAGCCCTGCCACATCTCCAGTCTCTCTTGCACCACGTGCCCCCAGCCCCGGGCTTCTTTCAGTTCCTCCTGCTCCTCGCGCCACAGGTACCGAGCAGCGGAGCCGGTGCCCCTGCCTGGAGCGCTCCCACCTCTCCCGCTCACTTCTGCAACACCTACTCCTCCCTGGGTTCCCTGTCCCTTACCCTACCCTCAGGCTTCTGGCACCATACCTCGCCTCTTTAACGGCCCTCTCTGTAATGAATACGTTTCATTAACAACAACATTTATTTAGTTGTGGGAGTAGCTGGTTGACACTGCACCAGAAGATCCACCAGGCAGGTGCCTTCTCCCTCCACTCCCGGTTCCACAGGGTCCAGCCCAGAGCCTGGCACCTTGAGGACCAAATGAATGAGTTTGATCAGTGGGTCCTCAGTTCCCACTAGGGTCACCCCACAAAGGCAGGGAGAAACACAGGCCATGAGGTCAGGTGAGGTTCCCCATGAGAGGATCAGCTCCCACCCCTTACCCCTTCACCCCATTCTAGAATGGAGAGCCTGAGCATCACCTGCCACCCTCCGCTCCCAGGGTAAAAATAACCTCATCTGAAATCTGATACCTACCCTCAGCCCCTGCCCCACAAGGGGCCTGCCAGGGGCCAGAGAACATTTCCTGAATGTTCTATCCCTGTGCCTATCCCATCTGACCCATGGGCACATACTTAAGGGGTTATCACAGGCCAGGGACACAGGCAACCCAAGCCCAGGTCAGTCAGTCCCAGGTCCTGCCCAAGGTCCCCCTGGAACCACAGAGCCAGGCTTAAGCTGAAGTGCAGGCCTCCTGCCTCCACCTACGGTGCAGCCCTTCCCTCCCCCAGCAGAGGGAGGAGGGTTTCAGAGATCCATTACAACAGCCTGCTTGTGTGACCAGGGAAACTGAGGCGCTCTCTGTCCAAGGTCTTAAATGAAAGGGCACAGAGTCAGGCGGACCTTGGGAAAGTTATTGAGAGGCTGAGGAGAAATACCCGCACCTCATCGCATCCAAGAGTAATGGGAGGACTAACAGAGACCCCAACACTGAGGGCGCCCAGCCAGCTGTGAAGGGTCGTGCACATTAGGGAGCATCATTCTGAGGGGGCTGGAGAGGATGCAGCAGTTGCGCTGGATAGAGCCTTGCCTTTCCTAAACCACGAGAGACTCCAGTAGCCTTCGCTTCTCAGCTTTGGGGAAATGAAAATGCAGGGAAGGGAGGCACTGGGACCATGGGTTCCAGAGCCAGGCAGGCGGTATGCGAACCCCAGACCTACCCTCAGAAATGCAGGGACCAAGGGCAATTTGCTTCACGTTCCACACCGAGCACCCCCCAGGCCAGCTTCGTCACCTGTAAGACGTAGGAGCAGCAGCACAAGCACCCTGCAGAGCTGTCCTGAGTGCAGAGGCAGGGGACACGTGGAAAGCACTTCATAAATTGCAGTGGTGCTGCTCTCCTTGTATTCCTGCATGGCCTGGGAGCCTGAGCAGGGCCTGCCAGGGCGGATGAGCCGAGTCAGTCCCCATCCTCACAGGGCTGTGGAACAAGGGGCTGCCTAGGAGGTGCTGTTACACTGAGGGTGCAGGGGGCTGGGGGAGTGTGTGCAGAGCCTGCAGGACGAGGGACTGGCTTGTGCGGCTGGGGTTCAGAGTAGCCTCAGCCAACACCCTTGCTCCTACTTCTCTGCACTGCTGGGGTGCTGTCCCAGTGGTGGCCCCACAGCTAGGGATCCGTGGGACCTGAGCAAGTTTTTCACGTCTCTTCTCTGGCCGCAGCTTCCTTGTTTATAAAATTGAAAGGGTGGGCGTGTAGGTTAGGCTGAGAACAATCGCTCTTCCTTGCTTAACTATTTAATATGTAGCCCTGACCACTATGGTTTAGTGGGTTGGGCATCGTCCCACAAAGTGAAATGGCACTGGTTCGATTCCCAGTCAGGGCACATGCCTGAGTTGTGAGCCAGGTCCCCAGTTAGAGGTGTGTGAGAGGCAACCGATTGATGTCTCTCTCACACATCCATGTTTCTCTCCTTCTCTATCTCCCTCCCTTCCCTTCTCTCTAAAAAATAAATAAATAAAATATATATGTGATATGTGCCAGGCACTGTGCTAAGCATTTTCTATGCATTACCTCATTCAATCTTCACACGGCTCCCATAGTTGAATGTTGTTATTATTCCCATTTTACAGATAGGAAACAGGTTCAGAAAGGGGAAGCCACTTGTGCACACACAAGCATGCACACACAATCACACAGTCAGTGAAGGACAGAGTTGAAACTTGAACACAGTCTGCTTAATGCAAAGGCCGAGGCTGCTTGGCCACCTGGCCACAATGGCCTCTCTTGTTTGACAGGCAAGGTGCTTACTTCATCATCCTGAGCACTGGTGCCAGGCACAGCCCTTCCTCACCACAGGCGTCAGACCAGGACCGTACAGGGATGCTCCCCTCCCTGTCCACCCTCACATGATCCACGGGAAACAACGATGCTGTTAGTACCTCCTCGCAGCACTTTCCAGAGTCAAGACCCTTGTCCCACTGGGTGCTCAAGGCCCAGAAGCCTGGGAGGGGCGAGGTGGCCACCCCCAGGGTGAGTTCTTTCATTTCCACCCCGTACAGACTCCACATAGCTGACCATTGCCTCCCTGTGGCTTCCTCCCTTGGGGCTGTTTGCCACCTCCCCAGCCCTACGTCCAGGAGACCCCAGAAGGGGGCAGGACAGATCTGAGCCTAGGCAGTCTGACCCTAAGTCCGATCGTCCCCAATCTCTCTGAGGGTACCTATGGCACCTTGGGGGAGCCACTCTGATATCTCCCAGCCCAGAAGCCACATTAACAGGCAATAACCCCCATGCAAAAGCTCTGGGCAGTGGGGTGGGCCCTTCAGGAACTGAGAAAACAGGACCGGTCTTTCTCCTACCAGAGCCCTTCATGCCCTCCCCACTAGACAGCCAAGGCTGCCTGACACTGCCTCTGGGTCACCATGGCAACACATGGCCAGGTGATGGGTCAGGCTCCATCATCACTGGGCACGCCAGCTATAGGCCTCACAAACCCCCTCCAAGTCGCCAAGGGAGGGGTAAAGGAATGAGAAAAAGGAAAGGGGGAGGAGAGAGAGATTACAGAGACAGAAAAAGAGGGAAAGAAGGGAAAGAGAATAGAAAAACCATGAGGTCAAAGAATAGGAGCTGGTAGAGAACAGAACAAACAGAACAGAAGAGACTCTCTCTCCCTTTCCAGAGAGAGGTGAGGGAAGCAGGAAAGGGGCCCCTCGCCCTCCCGGGCTGCACGCATTCCTCAGGCCTGTGCTGCTCCTCCCAGTGCTACAGGATTCTGGCTGCAGCTGGCACTTCCTGCCCCAGGAAGCTAGAAGCTAGCAACACGTTGGGTGGCCCCTCAACGCCCAGCTGCTCCTCGAGCCCCTGCAGGCCCCTCCTTCTAAGGGATGGTGTCCTCCCTGCCCAGCAGGCAGGGCTGCTTCCCTGGCTCCTCAGGCAGCACCTTCAGCCTGACTCCCTCACCCTCCCCACAGCCCCCCCCCAACTCCCGGCACCCCTGCCTACCCAGATCTGCAGTACCCCCCCACCCCAATCTTCTTTCCCAGTTTCCCTCACACAACACACCAACTTTCCCCTGCAAAGTGTTCAAGAAACCTTTCTAAGAGCCGAGTGGTAAGAACAGGCATTGCAACCTCATCCACGGAACACATTCCCTCACACACTGTGCCAGGAGTAGACCAGGCCTCAGAACAAGGCATAGCAAGGAGACACCAACCCTCAAAGGGCTGCTTCTGAGGCCCCAAATCACCAAGTCTAAGGCTGAGGCCCAGAGCTGGGCCACCCACTGGTAGCAGGGGCTGCTGTGATCAGTGGTGCACCGCCCACTCTCCACTGCGCACTTATCGTGCCCCTAGGCCTTCCCTCGGCCTCAAGCTGTCTGGCTGCAAGACACTGGTGTGTGCTAGTCCCACCCCCAGCCGTGGGAGCCCTGCTATCTCAGAGGAACTTCAGCCCACAATAAAGGTCTGTTGAAGAACGGATGAGCAGGGTGCAGAGAGAAGGAAAAAAACAGGAAGGCCCGGGGGTGACAGAAAGCCCTCCCAACACAGGCTGCGTAGGCATCTCAGCCCGAGCCCTGTCTCCCCAGACACCTTAAGCCATTTACTTAAGACACTCTGAACCTCACTTTCTACATCTATAAAATGGGAATAATGTTCATAGAAAGGGTTCAATGAGATTTTATTTGCACTGTGCTTAGAACAGGGTCTGAGACCTAAAGTGCTTGAAAAGTGTCAGCTCTGCAGCTTATTAAAAAGCGAGGCATTGTTTCACTGACTGATGTGGCTCAGTGGATTGAGAGCTGGCCTGTGAACCAAAGGGTCGCTGTTTGATTCTCGCTCAGGGCACATGCCTGGGTTGCAGGTCTCCAGTGGGGGCATGCAAGAGGCAACCATACATTGCTGTTTCTCTCCTTTTCTCCCTCCCTTCCCCTCTCTCTAAACAAAATCACAAGGCATTGTTGAACGACAAAGGAAATCACCCGAGCATGGAAGAGTCTTGCACAGGTCCCCAGGGACAAGAGACACCTGCTGTGACGGGCCAGGCGGCCTTTGCAGAGCCCTGGCCAAGCGTGAGAATGAAGACCTGCTTTCGGGTAAATAGAAAGACAGAGGGGAAGTTTCCAGCAGCAGTCAGGGGCAGACGGGCCTTTCACCCCCTTCTGTGACGATCACTGCCAGGTGACCATGCAGCCTGTCCAGCACCAGGGCTGCATCTGAGCCACGAATGAAGGTGTTGGACAGGACAGAGTCCATGACCCTCCACGGAGGCCTCCCACCAACGTCCACGCAGCCTAACAGTCCCAGGGACTGCTGGGCCCCAGAAAGGCTTACGACGCCCCACGAGGAAAAGTATTCTTGGAATAGAAGGATATGCTCACTAGAAACAGCTTGGGTTCACGGGGCACAAAGCATTCCAGGCACAAGAGAAGAGGCCACCGGGGCAGGAATAGACATATTTCGCATTTGCATACACCCAGGACATTGGAAGTGCTCAGCAATGCGTGTAGAATGGAGCCCGGGAGGTGACCCCAGTGGACCATCCCATTTGTCTGATCCGTTCAACATCTGATCAAAGGGCTCAAATGAAGACACACCCAGTCATCAGTGGCCATCTGAAATGTTGTAACATAAACATCAAACAAAATGGATTAAAATAGACAAGATTCATGGTATTAGCCTGAATTTACATTTTCCTTTTCTATTTTTTAAAAGATCTTATTTATTTTTAGAGAGGAGAAGCGAGGGAGAAAGAGAGGGAGAGAAACATCGATTGGTTGCCTCCCCACATCCCCCAACGGGGGCCTTGGCCTGCAGCCCAGGCATGTGCCCTGACTGGGTGCCGAACTGGCAACCTTTCAGTTCGCAGGCCAGAGCTGAATCCACTGAGCCACACCAGCCAGGGCTGCATGTATGTTTTCCTGTTGCCATCATTTTGCTTTAAGTTATATGCATGCTGGGTGGCTCTAACTTAATGGTTGTTTGTGCAAAGGCAGCCACATGACTTCATCTGTCCACAGCTCCACAGTCACAACCCCTGCTGCAACCCTGTGGCCGCTGAAGGCTTCTGCTGTCCTGAGGGGTGGGGGCACGTTTAGGGCAGGGAAGATTAGTGGCAGGGAGAAGACAGCCTCCCCCTGGGGTGCAGCAGGCAGACTGAGGCCCAGCCCTGTGAGGGGAAAAGGGAGGACAGGGAATGGCGAAGGACAACCATATCCCAGGAGGGGTGAGGGGGCTGGCTACATTTGGCCTGAGTGACAGACCTCGAGCTATAAATCTAAGGGCCAGCTGAGTCAGAGGACAGGAAGGGGCCTAGGAAGGTATGAAACCAAGAGCAGACAGGGATGGACAAGGTTAGAAAGAGGCCGATTCTGGCTAGGGGATTAACATCAAGCCTTTTAAAACTCCCTTTCATTCCCTCGGGGTGCTGGGACTCCAGCTCGAACAAGACAGATGCGGGCTCTTCCCTCATGGGTGGGCAATAAATACAGGAACAAGATCTTTTCAGAGGGCGGAAAAGTGCCATAGAAAATAAACAGCGGGTATGAAAGAGAGAAAAGGTGGTAGTTGGGGAGGAGCTAATTTAGGTTGGGTAATCAAGATCTGAATAAATGACAAGAAGGCGTGATTTTGCAAGCCTGTGGGGCACAGGGTCCAGGAAGGGGAGCAGAGGGTGCAAAGATGCCAAGGAGGGACAGGGACAGGCTTGGCGGCTGGGACAGTGTCAGGGAGTGGGGCACGGTGGGAAGTGTGGTCAGGGGAAGAGACAGGGCCCTTGTCACTCAAGGCCTTGTAGGTTCTAGTGGAATTTAGGTTTTACTCCAACTGTGATGAGAAGAGCTGGAAACTCGAAGTGGGGAGGGAGGTGATCTCACTCTGCTACTGTGTGGGGGTAAATGAGAGGGTGAGAGAAAGAGCAGGGAGACTCCTCAGTGGGCCACTGCAGTCCAGGGAGAGGCGATGGAGCTGGGGCTGGGCCAGTAACACTGGAGAAGCAGAGAGATGATGGGTGCAGGGAGCATTTGGGAGGTGGAGCCAGCACAGCTTGCTGATGGATTCCACAAGTGAGCGTGAGAAAGAGAGAGGATGCAGGGAGGATCCAGGCTTTTGGACACAGGCTGGTGGATGGTGGATGGTGATACTAGTTGCTGAATTGGGGGAGACTGGGGAGAAATAAGGAGGGGATGGAATCAAGAATTGTTCAGGTCATATCCAACGCAAACAGAGATGTCAAGGAGGCAACTCAGTGTTCAAGTTTGGAGGTCACTGTGAAGAGGCTGCCCCTGGAGACATGAGAGTACATGGGCATTTAAGATCCTTAGGACTCTGCCATGGCTGGTGTGGCTCAGTGGATTGAGCGCCAGCCTGCAGACTAAGGAGTCACTGGTTTGATGCCCAGTGGGGGCCATGCCTGGGTTGCAGGCCAGGTCCCCAATGGGGGACATGCAAGAGGCAACCACACAATGATGTTTCTCTCCCTTTCTTTCTCCCTTCCCTCCCCTCTCTCTAAAAATAAATAAATAAAGTTAAATTTTTTAAAAAAGAGAGATCCTTAGGACTCTGCACCCGTGTGGTCGGTCAAATAATGCTGCTGATCTTTGCTTGTGCTCCCATGACGGGTCGAGTCTAACCCCCTCCCCTTGAATCTACGTCACCAGTTGTGACATTTCAACTCATGACTTCTGAGACTAGATTAGAAGCCTGGCGGCTTCCACCCAGGCCTCTTGGCACTCTGGCTCTGGTGGAGCCAGCTGCCAGGTGGGAAGTCTGACCACTCTGGGAGACCATCATATGAAAAAGGCTCCGTGTTGGTGCTGGGAGTAGCAGCCCTGCTAGTCCCAACCTTCCGGCCATGCCAGCCAGTCAGATACCGGGGCACCATCCTGGACTCCCGAGTCTAGCCCTCTGGCCAGCTTTATACCGCCAAGTAACCTCTGATGGAGTAATCCCCACCAACACCTCATAGAGCAGAAGAGTCACTCAGCCCCAGCAAACAAAATCTCAAGATATAATCAAATGGTTCTTGTTTGAAGTCACTAAGTTTTGGAGTATCTGTCACACAGCCACAGTAACTAGAACAGGCCTCACCCAGAGAGAGCGAAGACAGAGCTATTTAGAGGTGGGGTTGGGGGAGGGAGGGACCTGCAAAGGAGACTGAGAAGGAGCACTGGGCGGGGCGGAAGGATCACTGGGAGAGGGTGCGTCTCCCAAGGAGGGGAGCTGCTGGACCAGGGGCACGGAGATGGCAAGGCAGACGGAGGGCAGCTTTGAGGGAGCCGAAAGGAGGAAGGGTGTAGGGAGCGAGGACCCCAACTAGAGTGAATAAGGGAAAGGCGGACAGGTAAGTGGAAGCAGGGACCACAGAAAACGGTCAGAGATTTTTGTGGGACAGGGAGCAAAGAAACAAGATAGTAGTTGGAAGGGGACATGGGGGCAGGGGAGGGATGCTGTCTATCTAGAGGCTGGGAAGTGTTAGAGCCCGTGTCTCCAAATGGGGCAGAACAAGTGGGAGAGGGGTCCCCCAAGCCAGAGAGCTGCCTACAAACAGGGGTTTCCCAAGAACTGCCCTTGCAGAAGCTCAAAGATCCTTTTTAGAAATCCATAGCTGCTGTTTATTGTGCACCTACTGTGTGAAGACCTGGTCTTTGGAGGTCCTTTATTTCTCAACTCGACTCGGAGGTAGAACTCCTCATTTTACGGTAGAGAAAAAGGAAACTCAGACCAGGACCATGGAAAGATCCACCCCAGGACATGCAGCCAGGAAAAGGCAGAGGGGAGACTGAACTTGGGCTCTCTGACTCCAGAGCCTGGCAGGAAGGGGGAAGGTCCCGAAGGGAGATCCAATCACCAGCCCGTGGGACTTCTGACAGAGCCTGGCACTCTGGAGACCCTCCATGGGCTGCCTCCCGGCTCAGCTGACTTCCCGGTGATGTGGAGAAAACCTGGAAGCGGGGTGGTCTCTGACCAGTCCATCCCACCTGGGCAGCTGCCCCACCCTCAGCATCCCACCGAGGCCTATCCCTGGGGCCCAGCAGGTTCAGAAGCCCCTCCCAGCTTTCCAGGCTGCCTGGGTGAGAATGGGTTTATGCAGAGACACACCCTCTCTTGGCCCTTGGCCTAGCTGCCCGGAAGCTCTTTTTATCTTCAAAAGCAAGGTGGGGTGGGTGGGGACCAGGCAAAGTCAGAGTCTAAGGAGGCCCTCAGGGTAGGGTGGGGGTGCCTGAAGCAATTCTGTGCCTGCCCCCTTCCTACTCTCAAGGGACAGACCCTCCACTTGACCCCAAGTCATTTAATCCTCTAGCCCCTTCTTCTCTCTGGACACCCCCTTTCCCACGTACCCCACTGCTCTCAAGGCCTGTAGGCACACCGCTCAAACTCTTAACACTCAGCTTCTCTGTATAACTGCCAGCATGGGGTGAACCTGCTGGCTCGAAACAAGCTCAAGTGACAGGGACCATTATTATCCCTGAGTCCCCATGTTACAGATAAGGAAACTGAGGCTGGGAAAGGAGTAGCCACTACCCACTAGCCAAGGCAGCCGGAGTCATCTGACTCCAGACCATCCATCCCTCCCTCCCACAGCTCATGGGGTGGTAGTAAAGAGGGAGAAAAGAGGGTCTCTCCATGCCCTCCCTAAGGAATCAAAAGGAAATCGAGACCCACCTGGTTCAGCTCAGCCCTGGAATGTGCTGGAAACCTGAGGCTACTTTAGGAAGGCCCAGAGGCCACTCCCCTTCCAACCCCTGACCAGTTGCCAGGCCTGGGAGCAGGGCCACACCTCCAGGGGCGGGTCACAGCCTGTTTTAGAGGTCACAAATAGGACAATGTCAAGGAGTAGAGAGATGGGCGGTCCGCAGCACCCCATCCTGAGTGACGGCCCCCCCGGGGAGGTGCTGCCAGCCAGCCTGCTGACTCTGGGCCTCCGAACACGCAGACAAGGCAAAGCAGGCACGCTTGTTCCTAGACCGTAGAGCGAGTGCAAGAACGAGGAGACAAGAAACTCCTCGAGGACAGGGACAGGTCCCTGTCTCTGCAGAGTCCCACTGTCTCATTATGGTCTTCTCCAGCTTCACTGAGATATGATTGACAAATAAAATTTTATGTATGATTTAGGTTACACAACGGGATGTTTTGATATACATATACATTGTGAAACGATTACTACAATCAAGAGATGCTTCATGCTTAATGTCTACTGATATTAATTAATTAATGTCTAATTTGCTGCAGATACATTATTACCTTTTAGGAAACCCCAGGCAGGATGTACTTACTGCACAGACAAGGGGCCGGGGAAGAATGCCTCCAGGGGTCACAGCCCCTTCTCTGCCCAGTCCTTGTGGGACAAGCTCTCTCCCACATCCCACACACGGCTGTCTCTGCCTGGAGCCTGGGCCAGCCCTCAAGCTCCTCCAGGGAGCCTGGCCAGGCCTGCCCCCTAGGCTGTGAGGGGCCACCTCTGGGCCTCCTTCTGTCACAGTCTGGCCACACTGTGCTGTCATCATCAGTTTGTTCCTCTCTCTGTCTCCCCATCAGCTTGGGGGCCCTTGAGGACAGGTCCAGTCTGACCCATCCCTGTGTCCTCACAGCATCGGACTCTGGTCCTTTCCATCACTGCCCTGAAGCCACCTCGTACCCA